ACACACACACACACACACACACACACACACACACACACACACACACAAACATACACAACACAGTTTCATTTCCTACGTGTAACCATCGCGAAAACCAAACAATCGATATAAAATGACATAAGCTGACAAGTTCCATGTGCCTGTAATTGCAGTAGCGCCCTTACCCTTCAAAATCGTAACGCAGTAATACCCACATAACATCACACATGCTTGGCGGCAAAAATAGATGAAGTGGCAATAGTTCCCTGGACGAAATTTTACACACGGAGCTCTAGTGCTACTAAAATTTGGATCGTTATGGGAGCGGATTAATCCGGCTAGGCCTATTTGTGTTGTAAATATAATTTGTAGGCCAAAATGAACTGCAAGCACGAACGGCAAGTGTTTCATCTTGTGGGTGGAGTTTGTCAGAAAGAAAGGTCCGTGCCGGAAACAGGATAGCTATATGCGCCTGCGCTTTCACGTTAAACTACAGCTCGAAGGGCGGGTCTTGTTTGAGCGACATGAATAAAGGTGGGCGTTTAAACGAAAAGCACTTAAAAAGTTTGCTTTTAAACTAAGCACATAAGAACGCTTTTCAATATAAGCGTAAGCGTTGGTCAGTTCAATAGTGAATAATTTCGTTTTTTATAACGTGCCTAACTTTCAAGTCCTGCCATCAATGTTTCATAAACAAATTAATTTGTCAATGTGAATAATAATGTTATAAATAAAAATAAAACTCGTGTTTTACGTCTATTCTTGCATTTCGCTATCAGTACAACGTTGCAAGTTTTTTTAACATGAAAGTCTATGCGTTTAAACGTTTTTATAAACGATTTTGTAAGTTTTAAAAAAAAGTGTAACTTTTAAAAAATAAGCAGTTTTTTGCCATCTCTAGACATGAACTTACAGTTTTGGCGAGACTGATATACTGATATATGATCGTCAATACGTTTTTCCACTGCGTGGTTGGTTTAAGGAAATTTGTACATTCCCACTTATTTGTGGTGACTCTAAGTTTTCTCAAAATTATGCACTCTCGTAGGGCTAGCACATGAGGGAGCGACTTAAGATACAGCTATTCGCGCCTCGCGCAAGTCGCGCATTGTTGTCCTAGTATTTCTTGTAGCAGCTTAGAACCGCTATAGAATTTATTTATTTATTTTAAAATACTTATTCGAAATATATTAAAAATTGTTCAAAAAAATTAAAGTAAGTCACTAAGAACATCTACTCAAGGTGAAGATCCGGAGGTGAGGGGAAGAATTCCTAAAGGTATAAAGGGTATAAAGCAACATCGATGGCTTTCTTATCTCAAAATTTATCTCAAAAGCTTTGACTTACCAAAAGCATCTAATTCGGAAGATGGTAAAAAAAAGAGACGTGTCTGCCGCGCAAAACTGACAAATCGTGGACTATCCCAACTTTGGCATGTAATTATTTAAAAAAAAAGGAAAGCTCTGTATCCTATTCATATACAATTATGCATCTTTCGAACAAATCTTAGTAAAAACAGGAATTACTTTAGATTAGGCCATTATTCTTGAAAGTAGCAACATATGATCATACATCAAAAGTCCTTTTATAACATTGATTTATTACCTTTTATGACATTAAGTTATGGGACGAACTAGTAGTGTGCCGGATAGTAAACCTGCCCATAACAGCTGCAGAGCCACTCAGAGCTTTAAATCGCAAAGATCTGTGGGTCACTGCCACCGCCCCTGAGACATAAATTGACAAGTCCCATGTGCCTGAAATTTCACCAGCACTCTTCTAAATCGGAACACAGTAATGCTGACATTACTGATTCACATGAAAGTCATGTACAAATAACACGAACTACTCACACGAAAAAAAAATGTTACATTTTTTTATACAAATTTATCGATAATTTTGTACAATTTTCAGGGTCGCCCTCAAATTAGACGGTTATACAAGAGATGCAGTGGCATCATACTGGTGCTGCAACCACGCCATTACTAATTTTCATTCAATATTTGAAACCGAGTTGTAGCGTCAATGTCGTGTGTGACATGCGCGCGCCACTTTTGTAATCAGAATTATCACAAATTCTAAAAATGATTCACGTCTAATTTGAAGACGCCCTTAGACTTCTCTCCTAAAAAGATGTCAATTTGCAGATGTGACCTTATTACACCAAGCATGCGAATTACATGTCCGATTATTTTTGACTAGCAACCAGTCCGGGATCACACGACACTCGCATTTGGGCTCGTTTGAGTTCCGTTGCAACTTTCAACCAAACCCGGAGTTTAGATACTACAAACACCGAAACAGCACTTTTGTAGTGGATTTATTTACTGTTACTTTTAATGTTTCAGAAAGGAACGTCCCTGATGTCCGAAGACTAGTAACAAAAATTTCAAGTAAAGCAACCAAGTCCTTCGCTACAAGAAACGTAGAAGCGCGTACATTGTAAAAAGATTTATGTTTTTTAAATTTCGTAATAAATAGCGTACGTTATTAATTTTTTTATGTTTTTTTTATGATACCAAGTCATGGGACGACCATTTCGTGCCTGGTGGTATGCGACACGTCTGTCCATAGCAGTTGCAGAGTCTCTCAGAGTTGACAAGTCCCATTTGCCTATAATTTCACCAGCAGTCTTACCCTTCAAAATTGGAACGCCTGGCAGCAGACATAGATAAGGTAGTGTAAAGGCAGTAAAATATCTATGGCAGTAAAGAGACAGGCCTGGTCGAACTCTTTAACAAGGAGCTCCACTGCTTCTAAACTACTTTTGTTTTTGGACTTTCGCAATGTTTTACTGTTTTTTAATTGCACATAAAACGGAGAAACTTTTTAAAGGTTGAACTATAGGAAGCTGTAATTGATACAAATCATACTGACAAACCGCAACAAATAGAAAAATATATATTTGTGAAATAATTAGAATTCTAATTATATTAATAAATAATATCTCAAAATGTTACATAACAGGTACAAAGACGCAATCGTATCGCAAAAAAGAACTATTTAAAAACAATATGAAATATCAAAAATTATGACGCTACTCGACCTTTATCTCTACCTTCGAGGTCGACAATGGAGCATGCAATCTAGTACACCTAAATAATGCCTATTCATTCTCGTCTCTCTCTCTCTCTCCGCTCTCGATTTCGTGCGAATCTTTGGAATATCTACAACATAGGGGATGGCACCTAAGCCTACGCCTAGTCCCCCGGTGATGGAAAGGGGAAGGCGGAATTATACCTATCGTGCAATTCCATCGCACACTCTCTGTGATATATCCTGTAAAATACCGATAAGCAGGCAACTTTACGGCGGTGTTCAATACGTAAGCGGAATTAGTGGAGGCGAAGCTCTGCAGTTTCGCCTCCACTAATTCCGAGTCACCTATAAACCTCTTGCCACGGTTGTCAATTGAATCCAAAGTGGTCAGTTGATATGTAGCAGACCCATCCCAAAGGTGGCAGCAGTACTCCATGCACGATCGGACTTGTGCTTGGTACAAATGGATTCAAATTAGACGTCAGGTCCATTCCAAGTAGCTGGAGACAGTCGGCTATCGGTATGGATATATTACGAAAAGTCGGAGTCAGCTCAAAGGGACTCCGTTTGGTGGAGAATGCAAACGCCTGCGTTTTGGTAGCATTTACAAGATTGGCATTGCCCCAATCAGAGACAGCCTGGAGTGTCAAATCTAAACGGCTAACCATGGACTCTCGACAAGACTGGATTTCCTCTCCACCTGACCCTTGCATTGGTCAAGTACCAATCTACAATTGTGCTGTCATCAGCATACGCAAAGGTACCTGGAAATAACATATCATTGATATGCAGCAGAAAGAGAGTTGCAGACAGTACGGAACCCTGAGGAATCGTCCATCTATCGCCATATGTTCGGAAGAGTAGTCTTCTAAGACCACTCGAATCGAATGTTCGCTCAAGAAATCCGAGATCCAATTGCAAAGGTCAGTTGGAGGCCCATAAGAGGGAAGCTTCATTAAAAGGCTTGTGTGCCAGACTCTGTCAAAGGCTTTAGAAATATCCAAGGACACTGCAAGTGCTTCGCCTTGCTTTTCTATAGCCTCGCTTCGTATGTGACAGGCATACACAAGAAGATCCCCAGTAGATCGCCCTCTTCGGAATCCGTACTGGCGATCACTGAGGAGGTCAAGGTACGACAGGAGACGGTTGTTGAGTACACGTTCCATAGTCTTGCAGATTATGGAAGTGACTGAGATAGGTCTATAGTTGACAGGGTCAGCTCTACTTTCCTTTTTTGGTACAGGTTGCACGTTTGCAAGCTTCCACGACCTGGGAACTATACCAGTCTCATGTGAGAGGCGGTACAGGTGTGTGAGAACAGGAGACTACTCAGGCGCACAGTTACGCAGGACTATTGCTGAATTCCAACTGGCCCGCTAGCTTTATTCACGTCTAGATTTCGCAGAGTTCTAAGTACCGCTTTTTGGCGTGTGCGAACTGGCGCCATAGTGCAGCTAGCCTTTGGTTTATGTTTTGTAATGTTTGTTTGGCTTGTCTGAATTTTAACAATAATTTTTAAATATTGCTTGTATTTCATTATTTTATTTAGTCGTAGAAAAAGTATTGTATGCAATTGTTACATAAATAATTGCATGCAATATTATATAATATATGCTGCTCTGCGTGGCAGACTAGAATGGTAACCATTCGGCCACAGAGGCAGTTACTTAATTTCACCAGAACCCTTTCCCTTCAAAACCGTAATGCGGTAATGTTCACATTTCTACTTGGCGGCAGAAATAGGTTCAAGGTACTTCCCTGGACGAACTCTTTCACATGCAACTCTATTGCCACCAAATGTACGGTACGGATATGGATTTACTCCGAGAGATTAGTGTAGGTATATCTGGTTAAAAAATCTCCGCTGTTGTCAGCTGATATAATAATAGAAGATTGGTTTAATTAATTCAGAAATTCTTGGGGGTCCATAGAGAGCCTACCTAATATAATGCATAGAAAAATTGACATACAATATATTGTGAGTAAATAGGCACTGTGGGCGTGACCTTTTTAAATTTTTGCGCCCGTTGTTGGCCATCTATTATTGGAGCGAGCGAAATGCACGTCACTGCAATCGCATTTCTACTTCTTTATCTTCTCGGAAAGGGTCCGTAGGCTCTTTGAAATTTTGAGAGATGTACATGATTAGAAAAAGGTTGAAAAACCCTGAGTTAAATGTATTGTTGCACCATTAGCACCAAATCGAATCCTTTTTAGCGTAAGTAAGCAGGCATTAGAGTGCTACACACGGCGACTTGTAGCAGCGATGCAAACGCGCGTTCGTGAAACGCGTGATTGCATCGTTACACTTGCAATATAAAGGCGATAGCAGCAATGCAAACGTGCGACTGCATCGATATAATCGCTTATATATCCCAAGTGTAGCGACGCAATAGCGCGTTTGTATCTACGTAGTCGCGCGCTTGCATTGCGTTTGTATCGCTCCTAAAAGTCGCCATGTGTAACCGCTCTTACAGATAAGCGAAATTTTATGTTACGGCGGCGTTCTGTTAATGCACCCCTTGTATTAGTTTAAATCACAAAGACGGACACACCTCATCGCTTTGGTCACGCAAGGGCCTTCTCATTTCATTGAGTGCATACAGGTTGCTAGCAAAGTCTAGACAGAGTGCAACGTTGTTATAGTCTAGAAAAAGCTTACAGTTTATTACAGTGCAAATTAAAATAATTGTAAATTTAATTAAGATAACGTAAATTAATGTAAATCAATATTTCTGTTAGTTTCTGTGTTTTAAGTGACGGGGCGAACAAGTCGTGTACTTGGTGGTAAGACAGTTGCAGTGCCAGGCAGAACCATTAACCGCTAAGATCTGAAAGGCACTGCCACTGCGCCTGTCGCCCTGAGACAAAAATTGACAAGTTTCATGTGTCTGTAATTTCACCAGCACCCTAACCCTTTAATACCGGAACGCAGCTAATGCTCACATTCCTACATGGCGGCAGAAATATGTAAGGTGGCAGTACTTCCTTGGACGAACTCTGTCACAAGGAGGTCTACTGCTACTAAAATGTGTTTGTGCGTGCGTGTGTTTGTTGTTATTGATATAAAGATCGAACAGACGCAAAGAAAAATTCCGTCGATCTGACTGGACTTTAACCAGTGCGAACACGCACGTAACCAAACCGTGGCTACTATTGACTTACAAATAAATGGACGACGGGTCTAATACAGAAACCACGACAAAAATGTCCCAAGTGAACCTATTTAAACGTAGTGACATGTAAAGGAATATGAAAAAGCTAAAACGTTGAATTTAAATTGTCATGTCATCGGAGTACTGTCTAATTTTGCTTGCTTCGCTGTCAGTCGAACAAACGAAGACTAAAGTGTACGCTCTGTATACGATTTTAACGCCCTATAAGTTCGGACACTTTTTAGCGCGGACCCGACGTCCATATAATTGTAAGTCAATGGTGGCTACCAATTTTATCAACTGTGATACAAGAACGAAACAGAAGATCTTGCGGATTTCTCTATGTTCTTGCTGCGTATTAGATTTAAGTTTTTTGCTATCTGCAGCTTCACCTGTGAGAAACTTATGAAGGTTTCCTCACTCAATTAGGTACCGGTGTTACTACTACTTTAGTACAGGTAGCCATGGTTAGGCAACATAAACTGGTTTGACCCTTGTCGAATCGAACAGGTTTTTTATTTGTGTTTGGTCGGTGTTTGTGTCAATAATAACATCTTTTTTATGATAATATCATTACCAATCTAGACAATATCCAAACTGACCAACTTCATACTTTGTCAGTAACATCACATGTGAAGATTTACGTTACTGAATTAGTGGATAATTTAGTTAATAGAGGGGGACGAAGTGACATTGCATTACTGGAGATGCTTTATTTGATCATGGCTCTACAGGCGGGTAGAGTACCCTGATCTAAGAAGACGCATTTAAAGTTTGAGACGGTGTAGAATGAAAACAAAAACTGTTAGAAAATCAATAAATTGTTTTATTTAGTACTTTACTACTACAATACCTATTTCTGCCTCCAAGCAGTAATGTGAGCATTACAGGGTTTCGGTTTTGAAGGGTGCTGGTGAAAATATAGGCACATGACAGTTACCAACGCACGTCTCGGGGTGACGGGCGCAGTGGCAGTGCTCCTCAGATCTTTGTGTTCTGAAGCTCTGAGTGGCGCTGCAACTGTTATGAACAGGCGTGTCGCTTACTATCAGGCGCTCGACTTGTTCGTCCCGTCACTTGGTCTCATCGTATAAAAAATGACTGTTACTTAATAACGCGCAAGGTAATTATAATTAATAATGTGGTTGTAAATAATAAAATAGTGCAAAATGGGATTTGCGTACTCTTACATTGTCCTATGGGTACGAGTAGGTACGCGTCGCATCGGCAAGAGTAC